CCCCAAAACCCCAAAACCCCAAAACCCCAAAACCCCAAAACCCCTTGCGATTAATTATAATAGAATTAACGAATATAGCAATGGAGGATTTAGCCCACATGACTCCTACAAAGAACGAAGAGCTGGAAGGTAAGTACCCAGAGAAAGCTCTGTAAAGGGAAAGAGATTTTACAGTGATTCTATAAAATAGTTTTCATAATATACTTACATCCTTCAACTTTCACACTCTTGGTTTTAGATATTAGATTCAAAATTGGTGCATTTCAACCTCTACCTTTAGAATCCAAACAATTTGATTCTGAGCAAACTACTGATGAGAAACAGAGGGAAGAAGCCAGTCAAGATGAGATTAATCCTAATTCACATAAGTACTTTTTCTCGTTTAAAATACTCAAACTTGAGATCACGCCTAAATCAGCTGCGAAGGCTTCGATCTGCCTCAAAGTAGGGAATAAGGAGATTTTTACAGTTAATAAGCCAAAGATAGACCCTAAACGATCAGGGAAAGGTGGCAAATGAATGGCTCTGTTCAGGGATGAGAAATTAAAGCTAATGTCGAAGTTGAAAGTTGATGAAAATACTTTAAAACCAAAGAAGATATACTTTAAAATCATTCTGCATCATTTAAAATAAGGGGCAGAGCCATATAGTAGGTCACACTACATTGAACCTGTCCGATCATGTTACTCCTCCAACAGATCCGAGGAATTCACCCTTTGAGAAGCTGCTAGAGTTAAAGTTTCAGAAGTGAATTGATAAGTTTGCTAAGCTTTATGTCTATATTCACTCAATGAGGGTCACTGACTTCGACCCCAATTTAAACTATGATCTGGACGATAACATGTCAGGATACAATTCACTCAATAGTGGAGGTAACGGGCTCCAATCAGAGTACAACTACCCTGATAGCATGTGTGGGAGTGCCAATGGGGACTATATAACAAACAGATTGACCCAGAAAGCACGCTGAAGGTCTCCAATTCAATTTCAGAATAAGCAAATGTCTGCAATGAATGGATCTATAAAGCAAAAGGGCAATGCAACTGGTAGGCTAGGATCAACAGATCGGAAAACAGGTGCAGTCAAGGTGTCGATTGATATATCCCAAAACGGTGTTGCGAACACTCTCGGGGTGAGTAATGCAATGAAATAAGTTCAAGAAAGTAAAGAATATACAGAAAGGAGCTCACAGCCAGTCTTTTAGAGATAATATAGCACCCTGAGCAAGTAAAGAATCACTCCAATCAGATGGTAAGAAGCTATCATCAAGTTCATGCTCATATTTCATAGATCCGAAAGGATTCTTTTCTAACAACGATTCCGGAATCCGACTGAACTCAAGCTTGCAGAACGAGAATGAAGACAAAATCAGGAAGCTTGAAGCTAAATTAGAGGAAATCATGAAGGAGAAAAATGAGCAGTTGCAACAAAGACAGAAAATCGAAAATGAACTAAACCTTGTTAAGAAGGTGAACAAAGGACTGCAAGAACAAAACTCTGGTCTCGAGCAAAGGTATATATCTCTTACCCCTATAGGCTGAATCATTACATGGACAGCATCTCAAGTCAGGAGGATAGCGAGAAAATCAACATCTGGAAGCAAGAGCTTAAAATTAAGAAGGAAGAATTGGCTAATCTCCAGGCTCAGTCTAAAGCTGAAATTACAACCTTGCAGGAAGAACTGCAGAAAGAAAGGAGGTTGTGCCAAGAGATGACCTCCAAAGTAGAAATTTTGGAGCTAAAATCTCCAAATTCAAGCATGGATATGAAACAGAGCGAGAACACTCGGTCACAGACAATCGGCGGGTTTAATGACAGATCTTCAGAGAAGAGGAACACCTTTTCACTTGCCAATAACTCCAACCTAGAACTTATGAAGGCAAGGAAGGATATTGATAGGACAAGGAATATGCTGGAAAAGCTTGAGGAAGAACAGACAGAGCTCAAGAAGGAACTTGAAGTAAAGAAAGCAGCTATCTCCCGTCAAGAGAAGGAAATTACCGAACTTGAGGAGACCTCTAGGTCAACAATCATTGATTTGAAAGAGACCATTAGGAAGAAAGAGGGCCAAATGGAAGTAATGAGCAAAGATTTCGAATTCAATCTTTCAAAGCATAAGAACGAAATTTCTAAAGCAAAAATGGAAACAAAGCACAGAGAATTTGAAATCGAAGAGCTTCAGGATAAAATCACTGCTCTTGAGATGAGACTAAAGAAGCCAGGGGAGGAAACTAGTGATGATCAGTCAGACAAGCCAAAGGAATTCAACTATGCAGCCCATTGGGTAATTGAAGAGAACCTTCGGGATAGAATTCGGGAGCTCAAGAAGGAAACCCAAACACATATTGATAAATTCAACAATAGTGAGAAGGAAAGAACAGATTTAGAAGCCAAGCTCATTGAGGTAAAAACCAGGCTGGCCAATTCAGAATTAGATAGAGCCCTGCTCGGCTTAGGTTCAGATAATGAGGAAGGTGAAGAGTAAGACACTTATCCAGGTTTTATTATAATCAAATTTGAAATCACATCTTGCAATTTCGAAGTGGTGTTCCGGGGTTTTGGGGTTTTGGGGTTTTGGGGTTTTGGGG